CATTAGTTGTTTGAGATGTAAGATAAAAATGCTAACTTATTTTCATAATTGCATGACCTAGAAAACACTGGAGGAACTGAAACAGAAACTTAATAAAAAGTTAATGAAAGATAAGATGTTTTAATACTTTTTACTCTAGTGTTAATCAAGATGAGATGAGTCTTTATAAATGTAAAAAGTCACAATTCTTTTTTTCCCCCTTTAGAAACTGAATGGTTCACATTTATGCAATGACAATTCTGAGGCCTCTATTCATTATATTTAACTCACTGGGAGATTCCAAGTTCAAAAAGGCCATTCATGTCAGAGTTAGATCAAACTGAAACTTACCCAATAGTCCCACAGACAGATCTTTTTGAAAAACATAGAAACTGACCCTCCTGGTCTTAAAGTGTGAAACTTATATTTGTTTTATGGAATTTCCTTCCTCAGGACAGGACATTCAGGCTCCTACAAAAGTATCAAAGAATGGAAACTCACCAGACCACTGCAGCAGATGCCTAACCCCCTTATTCACCTTGATTGTTTCCATACCCCTCCCTAGTTCTTATTTTCTTACACATTGTTACATTTCTCCCCTGCTATGTAATCCGGTAGTTTTAGTCAGTCAGGGAGATGGATTTGAGACTGTGCGCCTATCTCCTCAACTGCAGCACCTGATTAAAGCCTTCTTCATTGGCAATACTTGTTGTCTCAATGATTGGCTTTCTGTGAAGTGAGCAGCAGGACTTAGACTGGAACCTTGGTGTTTCAGTAACAAAATGATGAAAAGAATTGTAATAACCACTACTTATTGAGAATGTACATTCATTATTTTAGTTAATCATACAATGATCATCTGGGCATGGTGGCTCACACCTGTAATCCCAGCACCTTGGGAGGCTGAGGCAGGTGGATCACTTGAGGCCTGGAGTTTGAGACCAGCCTGGCCAACGTGACAAAATGCCATCTCTACGAAAACAATAAAAATCAGCCAGGCATGGTAGCACATGCCTGTAGTCCCAGCTACTCAGGGGACTGAGGCACAAGAATCACTTGAACCTGGGAAGTGGAGGTTGTAGTGAGCTGAGATCATGTCACTGCACTCTAGCCTGGGCAACAGAGCAAGACTGTGTTTCAAAAAAATAAAAATAAAAATAAATAAATAATACAATGATTTTATGAATTAGCTGTTATCCACATTTCACAAGTGGGGGAAACTGAGGCTCCTGAGCTTAGCAGCCAACCTTTACCATGGGTTAGATACTGTAATAAATGCCTTACATGCTCAATCTCATTCAATTCCCATGACAATTTTATGACTGTTATTATATCTATTTCACAGATGAGAAGACAGAGGCACAGAATGGATTAGATTAAAACAACTGGAAAGTATGAGTGCCAGGATTCAAGTCCAGGCAGTCTGCCCCAGAATTCCCCCTCCATAACCACTACACCACAGCACATCGTGAAGATGGGAGGAAGCAGTGGGAACTTGAAAAACGGATTTATTTCAGGGTGTGCTGCAGTACGTGTACCATGTGAGGCCATTTCTATTTCTCTTCCTTTGCCTTCCCAGTTGTTTTTCCCCTGTATGCCACAGTAAACTAGTCACTGTTTCAGCAACTCTCTTGTTCATTTTTAAAATACCTATTCACTAAATCTTTAAAGGAAACATTTAGCTACTGCAATGAGTGTACATAAGTTGGTTGTGTAATAGGAAGGAAACAAGCCAGGACTGGAGACTTCATTTCTAAAGAAGGATTTTAAAGCAGACTAAGAGTTATTTCCCAGAGCGGGTCATGAAGCAGGAGTCTCTCTGCACCCTTTCATTGCTATGACGACAGCCTGCTCCTGCTACACACAGCCAGAAAAAGCAGCTGACATTTCAATGCTAGGAACATAGGGGAGAGGTTTACAAAAACGCAAAACAAAGACAAAAAAAACAACAAAAAAAAGACTTTTTCGTTTGAATTTCAGTTAGGAAAAATATCCCCCGGAGCAAGTCAAAAGCCCTATTCTTGCCTTTAGAAGAGATAAGAAAGAAGAAATGTTGGGGGCCTTCCATCTTGTCCAAGTAAGCCAATAAAACAGAACTGACAGCAAAGCAGCATTTCTTCTCACTCTGTGTAATGGCAAGCTGACACAGAACACTTCCTTTGGTTTCCTTTGACTCGGCCATTAAGAAGCTACTAACTGATGCAGCAGTGAAGACTCATAGTAATAAATACCTCGTGTTGAGCCCCCCCACCAGGGGAAAATAGTAGAGTCAGATTTACTTTTACATTTCTTTGGATTAAAAAAGCCAATTCAAACTTGATCTCCATTGTTACTACCAGAGATATCATTGCAAGTATGTAACAGAGGCCTCACTGATATACGAGATTCCTTATAAGCAACCAGTCAACTTTCCTATGTGTTTACTTCTCTGCCAAGTGCTATACTTGGCATTTAATAAACATCACATTTGATTCCTACAACAACCTCATTTGTGTGTAGTATTATCCCCATTTTGCTAAACAGATGGGTAAACTGAGTCCTGCAAGTGGGAAGTAACTGCCGAAGCTTACTCTACTTGTAAAAGGCAGAGTCAGGATTCTAGCCCAGATGCACTGGACTCTGAAGCCCATGCTGTGTCCACTCTGCTGTGCTGCCTCAGAGGCAGAGACCTGGCATTCATATTTTATTATAGAGCAAAATGTGTAAGTACAAGGAAGAAACCCTGGGAAAAGATCTAGAGTCAGTTCCCGTTCTACGGAATTTCAATAAGGACATATAGTTAATCCAGTACTTTCATATTATCTACGATCGATTGATTGCTTTAATGTACCAGACATGGCTCTTTTCTTCCCTTAATTCTTACAACAAATCTCTGAGGTAGCTACTGATTTTATAATCTCATTTCCGTGAATGAAGAGACTGAGGCACAAAGAGATTAAATTGTTTGCCCAAAGTCACAGAGCTATTTAGTGGTAAAGCTTGGATATAAACCATGGTCTTATATAAACCGGGTCCATATGGTCAGATATAAATCACAGGTCATGGTCTTACTCACTTTATTAGATTGCCTCCCCACCTTTGGAACAATCAGTCAAGACCATGCACTCTGGTTTTCAAAGTTCTACACATCTTTTGATGACTAAGACAAAAGCCAGGCTAGCTCCAGGTAGTGCTATCATTGCTAACTCAGCCTTTGGCAGAAGATGCCCTGTGAGTCCTGTGAGAAACAGACCCTGGCCTTGTTGGACATCTCTCAGGCAGCCAGACCTACCGGGAAATTCTACTGGATTTATTTATGGGGATCTCCTTCTCCACTGAAGATCATTCTGGAGGGATAAGTGAGGGCTACATGCACTTCAAGTCTTCTAACAAGTTGTTTATGCTCTTCTTGGTGGAAAAATGTTCCCAACCTGTTCTGGACATGGTGTTAAACTTAAGTAAAATAGCAGTGTTTAAGTCAACTGAGTAAAAATAACAGTCAAGAGGAAATGAAATAAATAATCTTTTGAAGTTGTCCAGATACATCACTACTCATTTTATTTCTGTCATCACTATTATTTTTACTTAGTTGATGTGTGAATCTGCGCCATGAGAAGCTATTGGGGATTAATTCTCAAAAGACCTGGGAAGGAAATGCCAGTACTCTAATTGCTCAATGGCTGTGTGAAAATTCTCTGAAAGAAAAAGGCGAGGTTCATAAATAACATGTGCATATTCTTCTCCAAAATGTGGAAAGTGGCACTAGTTGATTGGATGATAACTAGATTAAATAAACTGCTCTGCTTTGCTAGATCTTATTAAATGAACAGAAATATAAACTTAAATCTTTCCAAAGATGGTGTTTTTAATAAAAAAATATCATAGTTAACAATAGGCATAACCATCAGGTTCAACTGAGTAAGCTGTGAACTGAAAAAAGCTGGTGTCTACGAGAAAGGGGGGAATTAAAAAAAGAAAAAGATTTCTGCTGACTTGGACTGAGTGAACATTTCTATTCAATGTGCTTAGGCCCTGGGCCAGAGGAGAGCTCAGATACAATGCCAAGGTGACATATTTAACCTCTTTGCAGATTAAAGGCAGTGCAAAAGAGATACTCTTTCTGCAGTACCTCTTGGTGTACTGTTTCAACAGTATTGATCTGCAGTTAAATGCATGGTTTTTTTTTTTCTTTTTCTTTTTCTCTTGCAGAGTGACCTTTATTACCTGGGAAGGATGAATAAGCACAACTTACGTTATTGCTTTATTTTAGAAAGAGAGTCAGAAACGGTAGTACATTATAACATGAGTTATCATAATCTCTTTAGCTAGCTCTTTAATTATCTCCCCTTTTTGCTTTTGTAAATAAGACATCATCAAGAATTAGAGAAACTTTAGGTCTATGTGTGAGCATCTTAACAAATGATAGTAGGAAGCAAAAAGCAATTAGTTATAAAGCTGTAAAAGGGAATCAAGAGAGGAAAATAATCACAATAACTAAAAAATAATCAAACAAGAATATAGTATAAAAGGAGAAATTTTCCTACCTTTTGGAAAAGCAAAAAGTTCCGTTTCTACATTGCTGTTAGGTGCAGGAGACTGAATAACTTTAGATTATTTAAACATGGAAAACATACCAATTATTTGATTTGAAAGGTTTTTTTTTTAAACTACCTTCTTTATAGTTTATTTCATGTATGTAATAAAGTACTTCTACAAAACACATTTCAGGATTCAGGCTTCACTAAGATCTGAATGCTACTGAGGCAATCAACAGTTCCACATTTCTATTCTTGGTCTTCAGTAAAATCACCATCATTTATTAGTACTTGTTATTTAATTTCGCAAGAAACAAGAAAACATGAATACAAATTGTAAAATTCTCTATTAACTATCTTTTCTGTAAATCACACAAAAGTTTTTTTTTTTTTGGTAAATAAATGGCTTTGCATTATTTAGGCAAAAATATTTGACAGCTTTATCAGATCACGCAAATCAGCTTAACAAATGCAATTAGATAATGCCCTAAATTTATTAAAACTTACCTTTAAGTAAGGGGCTGGACCGAGAGCCGCTGCAGAAAACTGAAGTTGAATCCCCCCTGCCCACAGACAGGGAATAAAAGTTTGACAAATACCCAAGAAAAACTCTTTAAATCCCTTTCCTCGTTAGCTCTGCTTCTTTGCCCAGAGGCACATTCAAGTCTACTGGAGTTGAAATTCTGCTGCTCTGTCAACTAGTGGGGGTCTGAAGTGACAGACGAGAATTTGGAGGTTGGCACCAGAGAGTATTTCAGACTGTCATCGTTTTTGTTGCAGATTTCTGGATTTCCCTAGCAGGCTGGCCTCTCACTGCAAAGGCTTTACAGGCAGTACATGCAAACCAAAAGGGAAAGAGCTAATTCTGGAGGCGTGGATGGGGTTAAGTTTTCCCCTCAAGCTCTTGTTCTCAGAGCCTCATAACTTGGCCAGAGTATAAGCACTTGGCTCTTTATGCATTTTTTTTTTTCTTTTTCAAACAACTCTGAGAGGTTTTATAAGCAGCATCCCTTTTTTGGAGTTTTTTATTTTAAGTCCTTGAAAAGAAACTCCATGCTGTTGTTTCTTCCTAAAGGAAATTGGGGAGTAGGGATTAAAGGAGGGAAGAAGAGAAATTGTAGCAGACGCATTTTTGCATTGCTCAATTGGAAATTGTTCTAACAAAGACAGTCTGAATTTTAATAGGCGGATACTTCAGATATCTTAACCTTCTTTGAATGAGCTTTGGAAATGTACATATATAAAATTGATTGCTCCTTATAGATCACTTGTATGCTGATTCAGAAATGTTGCCGTTCTCCCCTCAACACAGCTCCTCACTGTAACTTCATGGTTATAATGGTTAGTCTCTAAGAAGGAGGTTTCCCATGAAAAAGAATGGAGGTGCGCACTTATTTTTGGCCTGGCATTCTGGTTATTTGTATATGTGTCTAATCTCTTCTACTGCTACTTCTACATTTGTCACATATTTATTATCTGTCAGGCACTGTACTAACAGCTTTTTATACGTTATTATCAGTTGATCCTCACGACACATGGCAAGTCTTACTGTGTTCCCATTTGAGGGGTAGTATCATACAGTGGTTGAATTGGCAGAATTTGAGGCCAGCCAGCTTGGATTTGCATCCTATATTCACCACTTCCTAACTATGACCCGGGACAAGTTATATAACCTCTCTAAAGCATCAGTGCTTTTATCTATGAGACAGGGATATACATATGGAAATTATGATAACATCTATCTTAGGCAATTGTTCTGAGTTTTAAGTTAGTTAATATGCATAAACTGCATAGAACACCCCTGTCATGTGGTAGCCACTCAATAAATGTTAGCCATTATCATTTACATAGGAGGAAACTAAAGCTTAGTAAGGCTGAGTGGTTTTTCTAGGGTCTCCAACTGTAACTTACAGGATGGGATTCCAAATCAGCTACCATGGCTGACAGCCACACTTGTGTAACTTATCTAGAATACCTGTATTATATGATATAGACATATATATATACCATATCTGCTTCTGAGCAAGCTGTAAGCTCCTTGAAGGAAGGGGATGTGCCCTTTCTGCATTCTCCTGGTGCCTAGCACAGTGCTTTGCATACTGTAAGTATTCCATTCACATCAGATGAATAATTATAATTTAATTTAATTTAGATTTTCTAAATATATGCCAAAGTCTGGCCAAAAGCAAAAACACTGATAAAAACAAAATAAAACCAAAATAAACAAAAAAATCCCACCTACAATTCTAGGCAAATATGCCCTCAGCCAAATCTCTCCAAACACTTTAGAATTATGTGCCCTATTTATTTTCAGAACACTGCAAGAAAAAGGTAACAAGAATTATCTCTGTTTTGCAGTCGGAGAAATTTGGGAGCAGAGGAAACTGGGCACTTTGCCTAGGAGCCAAAAACAAGTCACGGTGCAGCTGGGAACAATCTCACGTCTCTAGAATCAGGATAACTTGTTCCAAACTGCCTTTCCCAGGACAGGATGAAAGGACTTGATGTCTTTTTGCCTCAGACAATAGGATGTTTTTCCTTAGCCAAGGTCTAGGGGTTGAGCAATCTCCTCCGAGGAAGGATAAAGGGGTGGGCAGTGTTTGACCATGCTTCTCCCTGGTGTCTGTGCACAGCTGCTCTGAGAACTGTGGAAGACACAGACCATTTTTCCAAGTCTCCCGAGGGGCGCAGGAGCAGTGAGACTATTGAAGAATATGTAAGAAAAGCATTTCTGAGGATTTGGCCCTAGTTTGCTAAGGAAAATTTTCTTGGGGACTCAAAATATTAACGTGTTAGTCTAACTAGCATTCCCCATTTATTTGAGATGGTTTTGTAAGATTGATTTCAGGTGATTGCATCGATTCCACAAGAATGTAGAAAAAATATTTCATTTAGAGGGCTCTGGAAAAAAAGAGTTACCCAACTAAACATTTTTTTCTGCTAAAATTGATATTTTATGCTTCTGCAAAATGATCAAAATAAATTTTCTTATGTAACTCTGTGTTAACCTAAAATATAATTACTTAAAGCGAACTGGATTCATCTCTTAAATGTAAATAGGTACCTAGAGAGTTCATCTGTGGGTGACAAAGCTTGAGAATTTTGACTCTCAGTTTTTTCTTTTTTTTTTTTTGAGACAGAGTCTCATTCTGCCGCCCAGGCTGGAGTGCAGTGGAGCAATCTTGGCTCACTGCAAGCTCCGCCTCTGGGTTCACGCCATTCTCCTGCCTCAGCCTCCTGAGTAGCTGGGACTACAGGCGCCCTCCACCATGCCCGGCTAATTCTTTGTATTTTTAGTAGAGACGGGGTTTCACCGTGTTAGCCAGTATGGTCTCCAGCTCCCGACCTTGTGATCCGCCCGCCTTGGCCTCCCAAAGTGCTGGGATTACAGGTGTGAGCCACCACGCCCGGCCGACTTTAAGTTTTATTGGAAGTCTTATTAATTTATAACATGACTAATAAAGACCCAGTGTGTTTCTTATAACAAGAGAGAAAAATGAATAATAAAAAAAGGCCTTTGAATTCGCAGTGTCTTTTGAGTATAGCTTTATTTGGAAATGTTTGTTGGCAGATATTCAAACTCTTATTGTTTCTGAAGCTGTTCTTTCTAAAATAGTTTACAGCTCAGAACGCTGAGGACAATAAACCTGCAACAATACTCACCTAACAGATGGAGCTATAGATCAGATTTAGAAAACATATGAGACGTCCAAATGGGTTGGGAAAACTTTGGCAAAAGGCTCATTCTGTTACTGTGCGTGAAGAGACGTAACATCAGTGTTGGTCAGAGGATGTGACAGATGTCAACATCTAAGTGGATTTTCTTTTTTTTTTTTCACCTTTTAGGATTCCCTTTGAGAATCTGATGAAAGCTGTGGGCAAGCTCCTAAAACCCATCTATGAAACCCATACCCCACCCCACCCCCCGCCAATATCCTCTCAGGGATTTTATGAAGTTAATAACCCCTAATTCAGGGGAAGGAGCAGAGAACACATTAATCCTCAAGCATATACGGAACCTCTTTGTTACATATAGCAGAAGCCTCTGGGTGATATGAAGGAAATGTAGTTCCTGCCTATTACGAGTCCAAGAGCCAAGGCATACACTCATTGTCAGAAGGTCACATGATTCCCTTGGAATAGTGGAGATCCCCAGGAAGGAGGTAAGTATGGGTGAGTGAAAAAGCTGCAGTGAAAACAGAGTGTCTGTACTGGTCTTGGCCAGGACCTGGCCTGTAGGACCCTCTTCCTTGCTTACCTAATGTATTAGTTTGCTAGGGCTGACATAACAAAATAGCACAAATTGGGTGTCTTAAACAACAGAAATTAATTTTCTCACAGTTCTGGAGGCTGGAAGTCCAAGATCAATGTGCCAGCAGAGTTGGTTTCTCCTGAGGCCTCTCTCCTTGGCTTATGGATGGTCACTTTCTCGCTGTGTCCTCACACGGTCCTTCCCCTCAGCATGTGTGCTTCTGCTGTCTCTGCCTCTTTTTATAAGGACGCCAGTGCTGTTGGATTAGATCCTCACTTTTATGTCCTCATTTAACCTTAATTTATCTCTTTAAAGGCTCTATCTCTACATATAGTGACATTGGGGGTTAGGACTTCAATTTATGAATTTTGGGGAAAATAATTCAGTCCATAATACCCCATTACATTTAAAATATTTTTTCCATTATGTTTTAAGACCTTGATATTTAGTTCTCTGTGGGTCTGGCTTCTGGGACCCATTTTAAGGTCTCAATTCCAGCTGAGTTACTGCTCTCTGCCTGTGGAATATCCTCACCCCCACAGTACTATCATAACTTGGCACTGAACCATTTCAGATCTCTCAGCTCTGTGCTGATTATTAACCCACTGGGTCATTTTCTAACTATGGGCTCTTGTAAGAGTTTATTCTAGCTATCCTGTCCCAGGCCAGCCCTTCTATGGGTTTAGTCATACCCTCTATTTGGTCTTAGGCAGATGCTTGATACACAGAGAGCAATTAACAAGTAAGACAGTAGCAAAATGTGCACAATATTTTGTTAAATATTATGTGGCCATTATCATATTACACATTACACATTATGTTTACACATTACACATTATATTTATACATTACACATTGTATTTCACAAAATTACATTGTGCATTTTATATTTCACAACATTAAATATAATGTGTAATGTAATTAATTGCCTTTTTTTTAGTAATAAACTTGAAGCAAGGTAAGTTAAAATAAAAGGAGAAAGATAGATTAGGACTAGTGGATTTTATTTTACTTTATTTTTTATTTTTATTTCTTTTGAGACAGAGTCTTGCTCTGTCACCCAGGCTGGATTGCAGTGGCCTGATCTCGGCTCACTGCAACCTCTGCCTCCCAGATTTCAGTCATTCTCCTGCCTTACCCTCCCAAGTAGCTGGGAGTGTGGCACTATGCCTGGCTAATTTTTGTATTTTTAGTAGAGACGGGGTTTCACCATGTTGGCCAGGCTGGTCTCAAACTCCTGATCTCAGGTGATCTGCCTCAGACTCCCAAAGTGCTGGGATTACAGGCATGAGCCACTGTGCCCAGCCAGAACTAGTGGATTTAGATATCAGGCTAAGCAGTTTGATCTTTATTCATTAGATAAAAGGGAGATCTGGAAAGTTTTCTCATTGAATGTTAGGGAGTGTAAGAACATATTATGCAGTAGTAACAAATAATCCCCAAATATCAGATCCTTACAACAACAAATTTTTGTTTTGATTTTTCCATTCATGCCGCATGTTTATTGCAGGTCTACTGCAATTCTGTTACATGTCTTTACACTGGAGTCTAGGCTGATGGACCAATTCCTCTGGCAGAAGAAAAAGAGATATGGCAAAATATGCTTGGTTTGTGAAGCTTCTGCCTGGGTGTAATACATATCACTTCTGCCTACATTTCGTTGATCAAACTAAGTCATTTGACCACATCTGACTTCAGTGGAATGGGGAGATATATTCCTCCCACCCAGAGGATGGTTCTGGCAAGAGAACCAGAAAATAGATTTTTATCAGGAATGGAAGGAGACTCTGTTGAGAAAGAAAGTATTAGGAAAAAGGAAGAAAATAAGATAGAAGGGGCAGAGCAAAGTTTTTAAAAAAAGCATGGCAGGGCAGATATAAAACATAAAGGGGGGAAGGGAGAGAAAATTAGGGCAAAAATAAGAGGCAGCCCTATAAAGACACAAATAATTGAGACAACTGGGATAACAGAAATATAAGGGGTTAGATTATCTTAGTGCCATACAATCATGTGGTTCTAAAGAGCTGTAAGAGGTTTGCATTAGTTTCCTGGGCTGTCATAACAAATTACCACAAACTGGGTGGCTTAAAACAACAGAAA